CTCCTTGCTCGTTTTGAGTACAGTCATAATACAATCTAAAATCCGTATTTTATGAACTCACCTATGTTAATCTTGTGGGATTGGCAGATAAGTGAGGAGGAAATTACATTCTTAACTGGAGGTGATGATCCTTATGATGACAGTGTGGTGTTGAATAAACTTTTTCATCCTAATCTTAAGCTTCTAGTTGTAACTGAAGGATCAAGTGGTTGTAGATATTACACTAAGGTACAAAAGTTAATCTCTCTTTTATTTTCCTATTTTGCACTTGCAAGTCTGCATTTGCATGCTGCTGTTATCTCCTACTCTTAGAAGGAGAATTCCTAGATTGTCATCCGCTAATCATTCTATCCTGAACCATAAAAGTACATAAAAAAAAAACTTCCATTAGTGCTATGGATATTTGAAAAATTGATGTAATTGAGTTGCACTAAGTTGAACTGTTTTAAAAGTCAATATCATTCACCACTCGTAAATTATTTGCTTGATTTTTCTTATCGCACTGATATGAAATAGATACACAAGCGCACCAATTGGCATGGATACAACTATGTATTTATATATGTTTGTTTGTAGGAATTCAAGGGCAGAGTTGGTGGTGTCAAAGTCAAGTCTATTGACACAACTGGTGCCGGTGATGCCTTTGTAAGTGGTATTCTCAGCAGCTTAGCTTCTGACCCAAGTCTACTAAAGGTACCTCTATTTCTTACATTGAAGCAATATTTTTTTTATCTTTGCCATTTTTTAATTTTACCCTTTAAGACTTCAATATTAAGAGATGTATCATAGCATTTGTAAATTCAGTAAGAATGTTAGAGTTTTTAAAGAAATCTTATGGATTTCATCAAATTTTCCTTGCTTCTGGCATGCATTTTTTCAACATAAGATCTCTTATCCAAAAGTTTCAGCTGGTGACTCCTGGTTTCAATTTATAATCTAACTAGTCCCTGACCAGGATTTCTTATGGCAGAAATTTTTTACTATTTCATTTTTCTGGGAGTGACCAAGAAAAATTTCCTCTTCTTTCAACAGGACGAGAAACGGTTAAGAGGAGCTTTACTGTTTGCTAATGCCTGTGGTGCTCTAACTGTAACGGAGAGAGGTGCAATTCCTGCACTGCCAACCAGAAAAACGGTTCTTGAGCTCCTAAGTCCAATTGCTGGGTAATTGTATAGGCAGAAGAAATCCCTAATTTCTTGTACTTGTTGTATTAAGTAAGCATATATGCAGTTTGAGTTTCCCTGAAAAAATTTACAAGGAGCATTTTGCTTCCTTGTGTTCTTCACTTCAATCCGAACAAAGAGGTAGTTTATACGAACCCTGCCATCTTACTCTGCATCTTCAAATGTTGTTGTAGATGTTTAAAGAGTTAAAAAATTTAATGGCTCAATCTTTGAGATGTAACGGCTCTATTCTTCATCTTCATCTTCTTCTCTTAATGTTTTTAGTTGCAGTAGAAAATTGTTTGAGTAATAATTTCAATTCAGAAAAAAAAAATTAATGGTTGTTTTTTATTTTCATTTCCAATTTTTTTCATATACTAAAAGAGAAAATAAATGGCAAGTTAAACGAGAGCTACACCTAAATTTTTTACCACCATTGCTGTATCAGTGATTTGTGGGAATTCCTCAATTCTTTTGAATAAATAAATTCAGATCAAATTAAAAAATTTGGAAAAAGACTGAATTATTTAAAAAATTCAATTTTTTATAAAAAAATGTAACAATTTAAATTTTAATATCGATGAGAATAGACGTTAGTACAATATTTTTAATTAGTGAAATAAATAAATATTAAATATGTAGCGAAATTACATTTTAATATTCATATCTTGTAACAAGATAATTATTTATTTACAAATAATTTAGACATCTAAATTAATTTAAAATATTAAAATAAAACTACTAAAGTTTTCTTCATCATCTTTCATTGATCTTAGACTTCCTCTGACCTGCATGGGAGATGAATTAGAGTGAACTTTATGAGCTCAGTAAGAAAAAAAAATTCTATAATTGAGATTTACGTACATACATTCACGCAACATAAAAAATATAATAATATTTATTATCAAAAAAATATCAAACAAAATATTACAATCAAAATACATAACAAACATTAACGAGAATTTATCTTAATCTTTTTTCATTATATTATACTCTTATTCCTAAATATTATTTCTGAAATCTTATAGTTAACTCAAATCATTTTTTCTTTATTATTCACATTCTTCTCCATAATATTTCTCTACTCGAATATCACACATCACTTGGATATCACATCTACATTCGAAATATCACAATACACTCTTAATATCACACCTAAAGTTTTATCGTGCGATACTGTTTATATCGACATCGATAAGAGGTGAAAAGGATCCCCTCATTGCATGGATATGACACACAATCTCATATTGGCCGCAACACTTACGTTTACTAGGTGACCCACGCTCACAAATACTTATATATGTTTGGACTAAGTTTCAAATACTATCTATGTGCAAGTTCATCATACCCGCTGAACTTTAGCCACACACACACCCTCTTCTCCTCAATTCAAACTAAACGAGTAGGTATCCAGAATCCTCATACTCTACATTTTTTCTAAATCTCTCTTATTCTTAATTCACTTATTTTATACGTAAGATCTCAATTTCTGCGCATAAAAAAATACAACCACACACACACACAAAACACACAAAATACACAATATCATCACGATAAGGGTCATACATTTCAAATCACTTTCTGAATCATTCTGTAACAGATCACACAGCAACCACAAGATCCTCAGATTCCTCATGCAACTGTACCAGATCACACAGTAAGTACAGTGCATTGTACATCTGCACCAGATCACACAACTAATACAGTGTATCCAAATTCTATATAAATATGTGTAAATATAAATATATACTATGTGTAAATATAAATATGTACACACACTAGTTATACATTTCACATGCATAATGTATGTACACACATTAATACACACACATATATTACAGTACAGACATGTACCCTCATTACATGTCTCACATAGAGTATATATTTATATTTATACATATAATCTCTATCGATACATACACACATTCATACTCAAATACGTATACACAATCACAACACATCATACATAACTATTCACGTATCTATTCTATCAATTCTGTTATTATCTATTAATATCTACACAAAACATATACATACACAATTTATAAATATTTATATTTACACATATTATTTATAATTTATAATTTATAAACACAATATTATGTTTCCATACGGAATACATATAATTCTTATCTACAGTATGATCAAAAAAATTTTAAGAATCCTTTCTAGCTTGGTCTATAATCCTCTAAGAACTCCGAATATCACATAGATAATTTTCCTCATTTATAATGGAAAACACATTAATTTACGAATAATTTCGAAAACTATATAACAAAAATGAGGAATAGATTTTACCTTGGGACATGCATTCCTAGTTATTGGTGTCACCACATGCTAATACGTGCGTGTCACCGAGAATGTCACGTGCTGATGGCGGGATCAATGTGTGTCACCACGTACGACATACCAACAACAGATCTGGTCATCGCACTTCCCTTTTTTTTCTTTTCTTTCTATTTTTTTTTCCTTTCCTTTCTTTTTTTTTTTCTTTTCTTTCTCTTTTTTTTTCTTTTTTTTCTTTTTTTTTTCCCTTTCTTCTTTTTCCTTCTTCCCCGCGGCTATTTCCTCTTTCTTCCATCACGCCATGGCCATCACGTCGGCACGCATAGAACTTCTTCTTCGGTAAGTCCCGCGCGCTCTCTTCTCTTTCTTCTTCCCCTTCTTCTTCCCCTTCTTCTTTCTTCTTGTCTTCTTCTTCTTTCTTTTTCCTTTCTTATTCTCTTATTCTTTCTTTTTCCTTTCTTTTTCTTATTCTTCTCTTTCTCTCTCTCTCTCTTTCTCTTTTTACTCGACCATAATTCTTCTCTCTCTTCTTCTTTTTCTTCTTCTAGTCACGTGTCACTGCGTCGCACAACCTACACAACTCTCCTCCTCTTTCTTTCTCTTTCAACTGTGGCATTGTGCAAGACCGCGCAAGCATTCTCTCTCAGCTGCTAACGCCACTCGACCCTTCTTCTCCTCTCACAGTCGTGCTCTCTTTCCTTGCACTCTCATCTCTTTCTTCTTTTTTTCTGCTTTTTCATTACATATATATGCATATATATATAAATTATGGTTACGTGTTTCCTTCTTCTATTTTCGTGTGGGAATTCCTCTCTTTTTAGAAAATTGGTCTTTAAATTTTCATTTGTGAGAACGTTAAGACAACCATTCGTGGATTCTATTAACATTTTCATTAACAAATTGGAGTGGTCATAACATTTCCTTTTGTTGGAATCGTTTTATTTTATGATATTTTCTTTTTTAGTTTCTTACAGGTAAAGGTCTGTAAATTTAAGGGTATTTTTTGTACCCAATTATTTTTATTTTTTCCTCAGTGTAAGGAAGCTTATTTTCTAAAATTTATCGTGTTAATGATTGTTATCAGAACACATCTTTAGGAACTTGGTTTTATTTCTTTTTGGAATTTAATTTTATAAACACAGTCATTTAGGAATTTAGGTTCCAATCAAGTGATGATGTTACAATATTTCCATTGGATGAAAATAGCTTTAGTGAAATCGTACTCACATTTTTTCGATTACATTTTGTTAGACTATTTTCTAAGGTATGTTTCTCTATTCACGAGTTTAAAGGGATGATGCTTTATTCAGATTTTCTTAAAAATAATTAGTATAGTTAGAGAATTATTATTTTATCTAAAGCCATATCAATTCTTAAGTTTTAGATGTCTAATTTAATTCATTAGTTTTCTAATTTTTAACAATTAAAATATGAATGGTTGAAATTGGCTTAGGGAGTTACAAAATTGATTATTATTTTTGGAGGTGATTGAGAATTTTTTTAGTAACAAATTTAATCATTAATTTTACTGCAAGCAGTTACGTTCAGTTTTAATTCTTGCAAGTACAGTTCAAGTTCCCAAGAATTATGTGGCTACTCTTAAGTATGGTCTTAAGATGTGAGTCACCGTTTTATCACACAATCATTTTACTCTTTTTGGTTTGAAGAGAAAAATCATCAGGTGTGGTGATGGTAGTTCATCACGCTTCTGTTGCACTACTTTGATAGGAAACACTTAGAAAATTTGTTAAATAATTGGATGTGAGGACAACTCCTACAAGTATACCCCTCACCTATGAAATTTTTCTAAGCGTACTAGAACTTTTTGGAAATAAAGATTCTAATTAGGCGTTGTGTGAGTTTAATTCCTAGAATGACATTTATTTTCTAAGGATCTGGTTATTTGTTTTCCTAAGATTCGGAACCATTATTGGAGTCTTTAAATGAAGTTGGAAAAAGAATTTTAGAACAATGAGGGTATTTGTTTTCATAGAGGGATGCGAGGAAAATTCTTAAAAAAATTAAATCGTCATTTCGTTCCTATCAGCCTAGAATTTATTAGGTGGAGTATATCTATTTGAAAGTTTCTCTCATTTTGATAATTTCTTTATATTGGAAAATTTTCTCACTTAAGAGATTTTTTTTTCCACCTAAGGGATTTCTTGTCATTCGAGAAACTCCATTTGAAGGATTTCTCTTATCTAACGAATATTGTTCTCATTCAATAAATCTTCCATTTGAAAGATTTTTGTTGCCATATTAGGGACTTCCACTTGGATGGGAATTTTTCTCCCAATTGGGACATTGACTCCCAATGGGAAAGTGTTTCTCACTCATAGAAAATTTTTTCTCAATTGGGAGATTTCTCCCCGTCCCCTCCTTTAAGAATGACTTTCTTATCTTAACCGAAATTATATGTTTTTTCTTAATACTTTTGTTGCAGTCATTTGACTCTCAATAGGTCAACAAAAAGTTAAGGCTCTGATCGTTTTCCATAACACCTGTGAAGTTCGACGACAGTGGTTGGTTAAGTATCATCGTCCGTTAACTTCAAGATGAACCCCTAATTCGTTGAGTCCTAAGTTTGCCAGAAAGTAACTTATATGGTTTATATCATTAGGTTTATGGAATATCGTTCTCCTATTTTCTATGTTGACAAATATTTCAGAGAAGGTCCAAAGAATCTCTTAAGGATCATTCTCATAAGCTTTGTAGCTCTTAGACCTCCTAAAGTTCCTATGCCTCGTGTTACAAGGGATAGTTCCAATGAACTATAACAACTTGAACCCCCAATGTCAATGGGTAAGGACGTTAACACAATATTTTCAACTAGTGAAACAGATAAATATTAAATATGCAGCAGAACTACACTTTAATACACATCCCTTATGATAAGATAATTATTTGTTTAAGACATCTAAATTAATTTACAAATTTAAAATAAAAACTAACAAGGTTTTCTTCATCATCTTCCATTAATCTTGGATTTCTTCTAATTTGCATAAGGGGTGAATTGGGGTGAGCTTCACGAGTTTAGTAAGAAAAAATATTCTATAACGAAAACTTATGTACATACATTCATACAATAAATAAAATATAATAATATTTATAATCAAGAAAATATCAAACAAAGCATCACAATCAAATTATATAACAAATATTAATGAAAACTTATCTTAATATTTTTCATTATGTTCTATTTTTATTCCTAAATATTATTTTTGAAATCATTCTTTCTTTATTATTCACATTCTTTATTCGTAATATTTCTCTATTCGAATATTACATATCTACTCGGATATCACACATACATTTGAAATATCACAATACACTCTTAATATCATATTTAAAGTTTTATCACACGATGCCGTTTATATCGTCATCGATGAGAGGCGAAAAGGATCCCCCCCATCACATAAATATGACACACAATCCCACATTAGCCATAACAATTACGTTTGCTAGGTGACCCATGCTCACAAGTACATATCCACGTTTGGACTAGGTTTCAAATACTATCCATGTGCAGGTTTACCATACTCGCTGAACTTCAGCTACACACATACCCTCCAATCCTCGATTCAGACTAAACGAGTAGGTATACAGGGTCCTTACACTCCACACTCTTTTCAAATCTCTCTCATTTCTAACTCACTTATTGCATACTTAAGATCTTAATTTCTATGCATAATTAAATACAAACACACACAAACAAAATACACAGTATCATCACACATATCAGAGTCATACATTTTCCAAACCACTTTCTGAATCATCTTGTACCAGATCACACAACAAGCATATGATACTTAGATTTCTCATGCAACTGTACTAGATCATACAACAAGTATAGTGTCATATATCTACACTAAATCACACAGCAAGTGCAGTGTATCCAAATTCTACATGTATATACATTAGTTGTACATTTCACACGCATAACATGTGTACGCACATATTAATACATACACATATTATAATAAAGACATGTACCTTTACTATATGTCTCATGCAAAATATATATTTATATTCGCACACACACACGATCTCTACCGAAGTATATGCATATATTCATACTTAAACACGTATACACAATCACACACAGTATAACATATATATATTTATTCACGCATTTACTCTTATTAGCTCTATTCTTATCAACTATGTTTTTATCAGTTTATATATCATTCATCGTATATTTTTATATGTATACACACACATGCGTAATAATGTATATACATATACACTATATAAACACAAATAAATACAAATTAGACATATTAATTATATGTATATTACGTTACACATATTTAAATATTTGCACGTATTGCATTATATATATACACATTTAAATAAATATATAATTTATGTTTCCGTACGAAATACATATAATTCTTACTTATGGTGTGATCGAAAAAGTTTTGTGAATCTTTTCTGACTCAATCTATAATCATCTCGAAAATTCGGATACTATTGGAGTAATTTTTCTTGTTTATAATGAAAAATATACATATTAATTTACGAATAATTTTAAAAATTATATAACAAAAATCAGTAATAGATTTTACTTTGGGACACACGATCCCAATTGCTAGTGTCACCATCTGCTACTACGTGCGTGTCACCGAAAATGCTACGTGTCGATGTTGGGATCAATGCGCATTGACGCGTACAACGTACCAATAATAGATCTAGTCCCGTGCTTCCCTTTTTTTTTCTTTTCTTTTTTGTTCTCTTTTTTTTTTCTTTCTTTTTTTTTTCTTTCTTTTTTCTCTTTTTTTTTTCTTTTTTTTTAATTTTTCATTTTCTTTTTTTTTTCTTCTTCACCGCGACTATTTCCACTCTCTTCCGCCGCGCCATGGCCATCACATCGGCACACACAGAACTTCTTTTCCGGTAAGTCTACTGCGCTCTCTTCTCTTTTTTCTTCCCATTCTTCTTTCTTCATTTCTTCTTCTTCTTCTTCTTCTTCTTCTTCTTCTTCTTCTTCTTTTATCTCTCTCTCTCTTTCTCTCTCTACCCGACCATGATTCTTCTCTCTCTTCTTCTCCTTTTTCTAGTCGAGCATCACCGCGTCACACAACCCGCGCAACTCTCCTCCTCTTTCTTTCTCTTTCAGCTGCGTCGTCGCGCAACACTGCGCAACTCTTCTCTCTCAACTGTCTACGCCACTCGATCCTTCCTCTCCTCTCACAGTCATCTCTCTCTCTCATTGCGACTCTCATCTCTTTCTTTTTTTTTCTTTCTTTCTTTCTCTGCTTTTTCATTACATATATATACATATATATATATATATATTATTGTTACATGTTTTCTTCTTCTGCTCCTAGATTTCACCTTTGGATTCTTTTTTTTTTTTCTTTAATTCTCTTTTTTTTTTCATTTATATGTGTGTATATATATATATTTCATTTCACCTTTGGATTCTTTTTTTTTTCTTTAATTCTCTTTTTTTTTTCATTTATATGTGTGTGTATATATATATATATTTCTTTTTCTTTTTCTTTTTCTTTTGTGTCAGCTGGATACCAGCTGGTCTTCCTCTCTTTTTTTTTTTTTCTCTGTACATATAGATATATATACTGTTTGGGTATTACAAAAAATAATTAAATTTGAGTCAAATTGTCAAACTCAAATCAAGGTCGACGTGGTTAGCACGAGCAAGATTCATTAAATGGAGATGATTGGCGAGATCTGAGGGCAAATTAGACATTTTGAAAACTTTCTACGGCGTTTCTGATAATCGTCAACTTTCTTTTTTTGGTTTTATGATAAGAAAGGTGATTCCCCGATATATCGTCAACTTTAACAGAAGAGTAGATCCATGGGATAAACATAAATGATAAACCCAATGTTTACCTTCATTTTACCAGCGAATGATACGATAATAACGCCATAGACTTCCAATGATAATGTTGAAAATGGTGGCATCTCTCTAAAATTTTATCAGAGCGATTAATAAAAGGCGTTTTGTTTTTGTTACTGAATCCTGCCTGCTTCGATTCAAAGGAAAATGGCTCTAAATCCTTCCCTGTTGCCTGAGATCGGACCCGATGGCCTCGCTAGAGAAGCCCCTGTTATTGCCTACACTGAGAAGGTCTCTCTTTTCTCTATGTTTTTCCTTTTAATTTTGATTTTTCTTCCGTTGAAGAATTGCATGTTTCTCTTCCTAAAAAAGGAGAATGTGAATCTGACTTTCTGTTGATTCTGTCAGATAATTGAGGAAGAACAGCTGCAATTAAAGAAGTACGCTCTCGATCTTCACTTAATTTCTGTTTTGATTTGTTACCATGTTTTTTTCGATTATATTATTTATTTTGGTAGACTGTATCTTTTGGTAGAGTTTGATGATTCCTTGCGTCTATCTGTGCAATTTTATTTTTTACTCGTTTTGTGTGAGTGGACGGGTTTCTTAATTGCTCTCTTCGTGATAGTTCTTGATACGTGCTTAATGGTTATCTATTACCAAACAATTAAACTAGCATTTTGATAATTTTGTGTTCGGTTGGCGAGGAAAACAAAATGGCAACATGGTAAATGCAAAGTATGCAACATTGTAACTATCGAAACTTGTAATTTTTAAGATTATCTTCGATTACTTCATTCCCTTTTTCTCTTCTTCCTAGAAGCTGATCGAGGTGAATGAATGTTTACTTGAGGGTCTAGATGGAGAAACAGTTGTTCTATTTAGGATTGTAATTCGTGCAGTAGATAATTCTTGTCGAATGTATCATGCTTATATTATTAGATGTAAAATTTCCAGGTATGCACAATATGCTCAATGGTGGAACATCTTTTGACTGTTGACATGCATAGCTCTGAAGCTATCCTTTTATCCGAATTGAGGATGGTTTACTTTTGTGCTAGTGGGTGTCATCCTTCATCAGTAGTAGGTTTCTGCTAACATTTTGCTTAGCTTTGATTTGTCCGTCCTCTTTATTTTCATAGTGATTTGCACTTTATGTCCATCTCCTCCCTTTCTCGATGAATAGAAGATGTGCGGTAGAGATATACATAAATTAGATTAATAGTTGCATTTGCTAGATGACAAATAAGCTGGCAATCAACACGGAAATGGGTGTAACTTATTTTCATACTAATAAAAAGAGTGGTGTAGCCTGATCAACATGGTGTACGTGATTACAAGGTGATGAATGTTGCTGCAAATTAAGTGGTCTATTAAGGTTTTTGTGGTTGTCTTTTGAATGTGATGGCATTAAATGAGGTCAGTAGTGACTATTATGTGCACTGAATATGCTAATTCAATTTGGTAGTTTGAGTGTTGGTGGCTGGCTTGTAGTATGATGGAATAATATAGGTACATGCTTTGGTGGAAGTAGTTTCTCAGTGCTAAATGTAAGTAGTGTTTGAGTGCTAAATGTGGTGATACTTGTGGCTAAAGCAGGTGTTACAGGAGTCCTGGAAATAATAATTTGGTCCTAATGGATGCTGAAGTGATAACATAATTGCTGGTGTGTCCTCTCTTGTTCTATAA